CCTTGGCCCTGGTCTTGCAGACTCTGAGGATTGGTACAGGCAACTGCACTGTGACGGGAGTTACTTTGGGTGGGGGCCCATGGAACCCAGCTCACTTTAGAGAGGTGGGGAGACCCGTCTCACCTCCCCATATCCCTCTTATGTGTAAATCACCCTGTGCCTGTTAGGGGTACAGGGTGATCTGTCCTAATATTGGGTGGGGGGTTGATTGTTTAATGTCATATGGATGCATCCCATTGTTCTATTGTGTGTTTTGCTTGGGAGCAAACTATTATGGGATGTGTGTGTTTATGTGTATTAGCTTAGGGTGGGGGTGGGTGTCTCCAGCAGCCCTCCTTCTTGAAGGGACTGTCTGCTGGTGTGAAGTTTGAATACCTGTGTGTCTCCTTACTAAATGTAGATTGCCCCGCCCTGTGTCATAATGCAGGGAGGGGGGATTGTCCCCTGAGTGCATATATCTTGTATCGGTGTTCAAATAAACTGAACTAGTCTACCTTCTGGATTACTTCAAGATTGGTGTCTAGTCTTGTATGGTCAGCTGTCGTGTCTGTTGTCGGTGTTCGGACAGGGAAGAGTATTCTAATGGAAGTACCCAAGTGCAGTCTGGGTCGGTTCCATAACATGCACTATAACACAATTTCTCACAGCATCCTAGCTACTTTAGGAACCATTTGATACAGGGGAACTGCACTGGATTCCAGTCACTTGATGTATCACCTAAATGCAACGTTGGTGGTCATCCACGAGATGTTGAATATAAAATACTAGTTAACCAGCCAACTTGGGTGATTACATGAAGAAGGCCATTCATTAGGGACAGTCAGCTTGGTGCATCCTTGGGCAAGATCATCAAGAACACTCAATGGGATAAAAGTACTCATCTTGCTCAGTGTCACAAGCGTACTAGCCGCCAAGACAAAGGGGAGCCCCTCCTTTACATCACAAGCAGTCCATCCCCCACCCCAGGAACCTCTTTGCAAGTCTACACACCACTCTAAAAGACAGCTTCCTTGACTAGCTTACAGCAGGCTTCGCAAGAAAAAAAAACTTTCATGTCTATGGACAAATCCAGTTTCAGCATGTAGGTTTGACCCCATCTGCAGATCTCAGGGTGGGGGAACATTTTTCAAACTTTGCAAGCTCTTGACTTCATGTAATTCTCTTGGTACGGGAAATCCTCAGGATAAAAAAAAAAAAAAAAAAAAAATCAAGCTTTTATTCACTGCCATAACTATTTCATTCAAATCCTCCTTTTTGTCGGCATTCTATAGACCTCTTTCAGACTTTGCAACAATTGGTTGACGCTGTCACCACTCAGAAATGGTTCAGGAGTTTTACAGGTCTCAAGAAGCGTAGAATCAGACTAATTTTAGGCCTCAATACTCTCATTTTTGTAAGGTGTCACAAAAATCTCACATAGGAATGGAATAATTGAAAATGGACTCCCTTCAGCAGGGAGACTTTCTAGCATTCATAGACATTCAAGATATTCATCTTCACAATTCCTTATTCCCCGAATATTAGCTGAATATTTGGGTCGGATTCTGGATACCAGTATGGTTGGAATTTTGAGTCTAGCAGATCTGAGCACAGGTCAGATTCTTGCTGCAAAATTGCAGTACTTTGACTGATGGCTTGAAGCAATTTACTCTGCAGAACTCCAGAGCAGGACTTTACATATACTATGTCCAATTGTGACAAGTTTTATGTTCCTTGACAAGAAAAATCTGCATCACCGCAGTAGTGGGGCTCAGTTCACTGATGCTAATATCACCAGGAAAATAACTTCCTCCTGTCAGATTAAAGATCTACAGGCCAGACCTTTTCTCCCAGGGTCTGGTACAGTGTATGATTATCCGGATTTTCCAGCTTGGCTGTTGAAGTCCAGGTGCTGAGGGACATATCCCTCAGGCTGTCATTTCCACCATACTTTGGGTCCTTTAATCATCCTCTTGCAAGATGTATCGCCATGTTTGGAAAGCTTATTTTAGATGGCGCGCCTTTGGGTCTTAAACGTCATTCTTTTCTGGTCAGTATCTTTTACAGCTGGGGGTGGTACTAGTCACGAACAGGTTTCAATCTTGGAGATACTTTTCCAGCAGCTTCTGGACAGCTTTACTTAGTTGTTCCTTACACCCAGTGTTCCCTTTGTAAGGCCCCCTTCTCAAGCCATTACATTTAAAATGAGTCCTTTTATTCTTTAAAAACCTCCATTCAAGCCAATAATGGATCTCTGTGGATGTTGTTTTGGAAGGTGTCTTTTCTTATTGCCATTACCTCAACTAGGGCAGTTTTTGAGATTGCAGCATTTTCTTGCAAGACCCCGTTCCCTGCTCTTCACAAGGATATGCTAGTTTTGAGACCTAGGCTCTCCTTTTGATCATGGTTGTTGTCCTCTTTTCACTCTGAGGACATTGTCTTTCATTCTGACCAGCCCTACAAAAGGAAATTTCCTTTCATTCTCAGTGTGGTAAGAGCTGTAACGGGTCTTCCTGAATGCTACCACTTCTTTCAGGATGATCAATTCCTTGTTTATGATTTCAAAGGCTTCTAGTGCAACAATTTCTAGATAGATTTTTTTTTTTGCCCTCAAACAGCGATATCTTCAATTACCTGTCACCGCATGCGTTAATGTTCTTCCTTCACAAGGCTTCAGATTCCAGGTTTGCATGACAGAAAATCTGTCTTCTATCCACACATTTAACAAATTTATTGGGCGAGTGTGTGATCCTACCTCAGACTGCAAAGTTTAAGTTGTTGCATTTGGTTTGGTGTCCTTGCCCATCCCTCAACCCTCGAGAGGCTTTGGGATTTTTGAATCTATAGTACTAACAATAAAATCGGTTAATAAAAAAAATGGGGAATTTTTACTCATGGTCCTTTTCTATGAATTTCACTGAAGAACACAGCTGCTTCCCCATCCTTTCAGGAATTTTTTTTTTTAAATAACCTGTTGTTTTTTTTTTAGAGCAGGGGTCTGCAATAACATAAAGAGCCACTTGGACCCGTTTCATGCAAAACCATTGCAACATTTAAAACAAATTGCATATATTGCGCTTCATGAAGGGGGTTTAAGGGCCCAGTAAGAGGTTAATCAGGGCCACAGTGTATCGTCATAATCACAATCATCCCTCATGGTGGGCAACTTTTTTTTCAACTTCTCGCCAAAACTTTGCCACATTTTTAAAACTGAAAATACATCCCCCAAGTAATTCATCCCCCATGATCCCCCTGTAATAAGCATATAGTATATAGTTACATATAGTAATTCATCCCCCATATTAGAAGGTCAATTTTAGTCCGTTTTTTGTCTATATCTTCCGTATCTGACAGCAGCATTAGCAGCCGACACACATTTCGAGGGGGACAGATCCTGACAATTTCATGCAATTCTTGAGAGGAGCCCAGCAGCAGCCTGCTCCGCGGGCCAGATTTCCGCCGGGCCGTAGTTTGCCCATTGCTGCCCTAAAAGTGTGCTCCGGAGCGCAGCCAAGGTGAAAAAGAGCCGCATTCCGGAGCGCAGCCAAGTATATAGAGCCGAGCGGCCAGATTTACTTTAGAGGAAAGTGAGTGACTGTAAAGGTTCTGCGATGAGTTTTTTTTTTTACAACTTTAAATTTACAATTCTTTGTAAACATGCCACTTTAGGTTCTTACCTGCCATACTTACCTGCTCTATGCAGTGGTTTTGCAGATCAGCCCTGTTCCTTCTCTTCTCGACTCCCCCACACAAACTCAAGGCTCCTTCCCCGATTGCTCTGGGGGCACTCGTGCATGCTTGCTCCTGAGCCGGCCCTGTACCTCTATAGAATACACAGAGCGTGGTTTCTCCCTCCCCCCACAGCCTGTGATTGACAGCAGTGAGAGTCAATGGTCTGTCTGAGCCCATTGGTGTGTCTCAGCCAATGAGGGAGAGACCTGGGAGAGCTGCTGCTCTCATGCACATCACTAAATTGAGATCAGGTTCACATAAGTATTAGGTGGGAGCTGAGGGGGAAAGCTGCACAGTGAATGTTTTTTTACCATAATGCACAGAATGCATTAAAGTATAAAAAAACCTTCAGCCTTTAGAACCACTTTAAAGCTGAACTCCTGGCATTAACTTAATTAACAATTATCAATAAACGTGGAGAAAAAGAATTCTACAGAAAGCACAATGATAGGTTGTAACTACTAAAATCTGTTTGATTTGTTGATTTGGTTGTGCACACTCCAAAGCTAGGAGACACTGTGTGAGGTCAGTCAGTTGATAAGGCAGCAAATTTTACCTTCTGACCCAAACAGAGAAAAAAAAAAAATAAGACCGTCACAGCCCAAGTAAAATCAAGGAGTCGGTTTTTGTGAGAATATTCAATGTGCTGAAAAAATTCCAGTATGTAGTTCCAGAATATACATTTCTCCAAAGTGATGCATTTATTTACACATTAAAAGTATGTTACAAATGGCTTAAACATTCCATTTTTTTAAATTATCTCTGTGATGGCCTAGGGGCCCAAACTCTACATTTTTATCTCTGGTTACTGCCTTCAGTCATTTGAAGATTATTAACTGTGGAAGGACTGTGAACATGAGGCATCTATTAGCGATAAATCACAATGCATATATTAACAAAGGCAAAAAAAGTTAGAATTGTGTTTGTTTTGAAATTCATGCACACCACAGCACTAGGAAGTAGAGATGTGGAAACAAGTTATATGTGTAGGCTGTAGTCTTTGTATGCCTCACAGATTGTGAGAAAATACCAAACGTGCCAAAAAAAAGCCCTAACAAGAGCTTGTATTAAGGCAAAAAACATTTGTGTGAAGCCCACTGTGAATTTAACTGCACCCTGAAAAAAATGGAACTCCTCCAAGTAAGCTGGGAGCAGTCCACATGACCCCATACTTCCAATGACCACAACTACAGGTCCTAACAGAAATGAAAAGGAGTCCAGAACTGGTACTTAACAGCAATGTAAGAGGGGTCGGCAACAAATTAATCGCAAATCCGGGAACTCTGCAATCAGGTGACAGACACAACAACTTTCTGACTGGCCACTATGTCTTCCAGCTTTTTCTTTATCTTCAGGAAATGCCGCTTGAACTCCAGACCATCACCCTGCAAAAGAAAACCCAAATGTTCATATTTGGGGACAGGGTAGATCAAAATTCCATTTGATCCTTTTAGGACCGGGTTTCTCAATCTTTTTGCATTTGCTGTACCCTTTATTATACTATGCACCCCATTCTAAAATGTACAACAAAAACTTAAACTAATAGTTTTACATAATGCAGCAACATCCACATGTATAGGACACCCAACATTGGAGGCGATTTATTCTTCCAAAGCAAATACACCTTTGCACACATGGTACTGACTAGTATGCAAATGTTTCTCTTCTCCCTCACTCGGCTAATGTGACCCCAGTGCTAATAAAGAAATAAAGAGTGGACGGGGAGGGGCAAACAAGAGTGCTTGCAGGTGTCCAACGTCCTCAACTGATGACATCACTGGTTGTTTGGATGCAGGAGACTAGAAGGTTGTAATGAGCACAATGAAAGCCTCTGACTTTGTGTAGCTAGAAAGGCCGGCTTGAATACAGTTTTTGGGCAATTTGTAGGTATTTTGCCTGGGCATCCTGGTTGTAAAAGTTTGCTTTAAGAGAGAGACTGACCATTTTCTATGTTTCAAAAAAAAAAAAAAAAGGCAAATTTTCAATAAGGTCCCTGGAATCCCTGCCTTATTGAATCTAAACTTAAAGGCCAAGTTCATCTTTTGGGAAAAAATAAATACACATATTTTTGCAGGAGAATAAAAATTGCATCCATTATTTTTTCCCCAATGAGCCAGCAAAGAACAGTCCTTCAGCTTTCAGCCAGTACCTCTGTATGGACTGTCAGTTTAAAAGGCTTGTGAATGAACTACATAGGCACTCATCAGTGCCCTCACAATTCATTGAGAGCTACAAGACGTCTGCATGTTGGCAGATGGGACTTGTAATTGTGTAATTCACAGATTGCGGTGAATGAATGATACAGCTGTGTGGGTAAAACCCTGCACAGTTGCACTGCTTTTAAAATGTGACAGCGGCTGAAGGGGAGGATCGGGGTGAGAGAACATGTGCTGGAGCACGTTTCACCCTAAATATGGGTGTAATGTGTATTATGCTCTAAAAGGAGAACTTTTCTTTAAGATAAAGCTGAAGTACAGAGGTTTCCATTGAGGGGCTCCTTCTATAAATTCTAGGTTCCTGGCTTTCTCTAGAGTCACAGAACATGGACAAGCATGCAACCAATGAAATCAGGACTCAATCTTCACACTTGGAGTCAGGTAAGTAACTCCATGTATTAGTATGACAAAAAGGCAACTAATATTTTTAAAACAAAGTTATAAGGCAGCCCCCGTCTTCACACACACACAAACACATGTTTACTATAATGAAGGGGCTACAATTTGACTCTACTAACCCTCCCCCCCCCCCCCCCCCCCCCAAAAAAAAAAAAACCCAACAAAAAAACAGGACATCAGGATTTCTTAATTAAAACACAAAATACCAAGAGAGTGCAATCAGATTTCAGTAGTCTGCAGGTGACAACTGGATATTAGATCTAAGATTCAATGATCAGTCAGCAAAACACTGTATAAACCAAGTACCTTTGAAAGGCGAAAATCCAGTAATATTCTTTCCTCCATCTCCACCAAATTAACCTTAAATATTAATTTGTTATTTCGCCTGTCAGTTGTTGAAAGTGTCACCTGGTACAAAAACACAAGACAAGACACCAGTTCATCATACAAGAAAAAAAAAAAAAAAAACTGCAGGTATGAGGATAAAGTATACCTGAAAGACAAAAATCCCTTCTGACTCTTTCCTTTTGGATACAGTAGGGAGTAGCAAAAAAACAAAAAACACATTCAATTTTATTTTTTGACATCTGCAGCCACTGAAGAGATTTACCTTTACTTCCCGACCTGCAGACACAACAGAAAGTGAAAGAAAATCTGTTCATAGCGCAGGAAACCCCCCCTTGGGCAGTTGTCAGTGGACAAAGTAACCCCACTGAAGATTTACCTACTATTCCTATTCTGATGACAACTCCACATTTTGTCCTTTTCCACACTTTTCTGCTCTGAAAATAAAATAATCCCCCTGCTCTCCCATCCTATACGGAGGTTCCCAGTACTTGAGTTTAATAGAATACAACAGAACATGATTTGCTTAGCAGTACTGATCGTGTTCTTGTGTGTTCTAGAACTATTGAACTATTCATGCGCTCATATAGGATGGCCCTGACCACTCTAATCTTTTTTAAACAAATTTCTATACTCAAGTTGTGCACCAAGCTTCTAATTTAGAATAGAAGGATAAACACGGAAAGATGCACAATAGCTGAACAAGATGATTAATGAACTTGCCTGATTGGCACAGCCTTTCCTCCACACATAACCCATTTTTTCGCAAGCGTCCTTCAGATTATTATAAGTACTTTCAGCATCGACGTTGGTGAAGAACCGGGTCATTCTTTTCACTAAACGCTGCCATGGGTTCTGTGGGGGTTTTATAATAAAAATGACAGCGTTGAAAAAAGTTTCAGCAGATACAATGAAACAGATGACTGATCTAATACCTGCATAAAAGTAAAATATGAGAATTGTTAGAAAATTGTGTTGGGCTTACCTGGGAGGCACCAGGGGTACCCAGCAGCTGGCTGCTTAGCAGCATGTTTTCTGGACAGGCTGGTTGAGAGAAACTAATTCCTTTACCCTGCACCAGGCTGTCTATATTACAGGAGCTACTGTCCCAGGCCGGGAGGGCTGTGCGAGGCTCAGGCTGTGTGCTGGAATACGTTGTCTTCTCATCACTGCACAGCAAAGCAAAAGGATTGGTTAGTGCCTTGTACACAAGTGAACACTGTGAACAGTATGGAATACTATATCTGAACAGTAATTATTTGAAAAACTTATAACATAGTAAACATTTCATCACTTATAAGATGTTTAACCTACAGTGCAAAGTTGTTGGCTTGACTGACAAGGAATACCATCTACACCAGGGCTTAAAATTTCGAGTCTAGACCTACTAGCCAGGCACAAACCTTACTCTCCCACCAGTTGCACCACCCAGCCTTGCCCAGGTCCGCCCCTGCCCCCCCCCCCCAACCACACCCCCTTAAAGCTTATGAAATTAAATTTTTCTTTAGAATAAAGAGTCCAAAATATAAAACTGTATACAGTAATGTATATCCCAGCTCCCCTGTACTCCATTATAGTCATATGACATGTATACAGTACTTACTCCACGAGTCCCCCACGGCGGCGAGAGGGTGTCTCCTCTCAGTGGAGGACAGCGGACCTCTCCTGCACCTCTCCCCTCAGCGGCGGTGCCGAAGAAGCCGTAAACCGGAACTCGGAAACCGGAACTCGGCTTCACAATGAGACTTGGAGTGCTGCCGCTCCATCATCTGTGCTCGCTGCTCACCGTTAAAGAATTTCTCCTCGCATTTGCAAGCAGCTTTTTCAAGCCCTGATCTACACTGAACACAGAAATTCCACCACAGGAAACTCATTTTGTGTACCCTTATTCTTTTTTAGTGTTCTTGTGTACTGCAAAAAACATTTCTTTACTGAGCAGCAACAGGAGCCCCAAAACTCAAAAGCCAACCTGCATAGTCAAAGTGGCTGCAAGAAGTCAACCAGTGTGGGGCCACTACATAGATTAAAAGAGAAGTATGGCCAAAGTTTGCTTGGTTATCTTTCTCATGTTGTCACGGGTGTGCACTTACTTTAGCACTCCTGTAACCCAGAATCAGCCAACGGGCTAAAGTCTGATGTCACAGAGCCGCTTCAGTAATGTCAGGATCCACCCAGATTTATGACCAGCAGCTGACCCAGCCTCTCAGCATACCGCTAAGGCAGCAGCTCCTGCCCGCTCCACAGCCGGCACTTCAGTGAGCACTCCAGTCTGTACAACATATTAGCCCGTAAAAAAAAAGCTAACATACCAATGCTGTGCAGTAAACTACAGCACAAGCAAACCCAGGTCAAGACTAACATTTAACTTTCCTTCTTTAGCTTGCAATCACACCTTTATACTTTCATTAACAAAGGCTCTTAAGTAATATGGTTACTGAAAGAAAAACTGGCCTGTGAGAGAGATAAGACTTGTCCGCATCACTACGTATGTGTTTGCTGAGAATTTCAGATGTTTCTGTTGCACCCCCTGAGCATATGCGGTGTCTTTTCACACCTATTGAGAGACATAAAAAAGGAAAAAAAAAAAAAAATGTGAGAAATCAGAAACTCACTAAATACTGATAGCATTACATAAATTCACCCACCATTGAAGACTAGTAATTCATTGGAAAAAAGGTATGATACAATGAAAACCCTGTGGTGCAAGCAATCGCAGGCAATTTTAGTCATGCATTATAGCAACTATAACTAGTCAACATCTTAATGAATTTTAGAGTTAAGGGAAAAAAAAAAAAAAAATGAAGGCTGCCAATGTTGACCTCTCTATCTGAAAAAGCGGTCATGCTGACCTCCTTTTGAACCCGCTTCGAAAAAACTAAAAGGTTCCACTCCAGGCTCCTCTGTATGGATGCGGGTGCTGGCTGCGAAGAGCCTGTCCCAGCTCGGTGCAATAGGCAGGAGAAGGGAATGTCCCAAACGATGCTCACACTTGGGACGGTCTCTTCTCCTTCCAAATCCTGACTTTCTTGCTTCGATCATTTCTGAGGCACTGTCCTTAAGAAATAGTGACTTTGTTTTAACTTTCTTATTTGGTATGTAAGTACCTAAAGAAGAATTGAAGACACAAGGCCAGCAGCAGACTGGCACCTAGCATTGTGATATAGGAGATCAGCAATGGTATCCTCCATAATCACTCACATGAGAGACGTTTTCTTTAACTACAACAAAGAGCACATGAAGTGAACAAACTTCAAACCCCAAAGACAATATATAGATATCAATGTTTCCCTGTAACTCACTTGAAAAATTCATCCATAGTCTCCGATATGGGGGTTATTAAAAGCAGACCCTACTCAGTAAGAACTCACAAGGCAAAATTTTCAAGACTTTAACACAAGGATAAGGTTCTCTACTTTAGCCAAGTTATTATAATTTTACTATATCATTGAATCAAAATCGCTCACTTATGAAAATAATTACACTTATCCTGATGCCTTAGCTTTGTGAATTGAGGTAATATAGGTTTAAAATTACGTCCAAGTTATTTTTTTTTTTTTTACATACAGTATTGTGAACAAAGGATCTGATCTCTACCAGCATCTGTGTAAGCACAATACGGAACTAATCAATGTACCCCTTTACCTTTCTTCAGGGTTTTGGTAAACCATCGTTCTTTCTTGATGTCTGGAACAGCAACTCTCGTACTGGGATTTTCTGTTAGGATTTTACACAGCAGCGCTTGAAAAAGAAGACAATGCAGATAATACTTTAAAACATTTTTTTTTATACTGCTAATAAAGTTACAATCATAGCTGAAATATCTTCTAATAAAATTACAAAAACATTTTTTAGGCAGCTAAAATATTTGCAAGCCCTGAAGGTGCCTGAAAATTATCAAAAGATTTACAACACAGGTTCATAATTTTATTCTGTACCTGTCAATTTCCAATGCAACTTTAAACTGATTGACTGTTTTTCTCCCTACTAGCTCTATACATCTACCATAAAACATTTACAGAAAACCAAGCTTTAAAAGGCACTTTTCACACGAACAATATGATCAGGTTCCCTTGTCAGTTTTTCAGGAGAACCTGACTGGATGGCCCATGCATCCCTATGGACTGGCGGGTGTAAGGTGACTTGTGTCCATCCATTTACACCCACCAACCTCCAATCCTATTCGGTGAAAAAAAAAAAAAAAACCCACAGAAGGGGATCAGTTCTCCACCGTGTAGACAGATCAGATCAGGGGCAGTTGAGTGTAAACAGACAGCTTGTTTGTTAACAACTGACCACCCACAGAGCACAGCGGGCTGTGTCCTTGTACACTCTGCATAAACTGAGCAGACACAGACCTGTCATCTTCTCTTTCAGCTCAGCAGGGGATCAGCAGACAGATTCCCTTCTGAGCAAAGCAGATTCCGCCTCAATTAAAAGGGGCCTAAGACTAATGCAGGCCATACATGGTTCGAATTCCAAACAAATATTCGGACGAAAATCAGACCCAAGAATAATCGGCCGATTTTTGCTCTGTTAGTGGGGCAATGGCATCGGACGATTTTCGTGGTTTCTCCCCATTTTGTTTATCGGGCATGCTGGAAAATTTGTGAAAAACAAACAAATTTTGAAAAAAATCATTGGTGGCACCATCGGATTACAGAACGAACGACGTTTCGATTTCCGGACGAAAAATCGTTCAGAATTCAAACCATGTATGGCCTGCATAAGGCCTACAGCAGAAATCAAGCCTGTTTTTGGCAACAACTTCTCAGCAACAGGAAAGATTACCTGCTTCAACATCACTGCATGCCTGGCCAAAATCCTGCAGGATCTTTCACACACAAGAAAATGATGTTTCAATGAGGAAGCGAGTCCATAACGATCATGTTTCCATCGAATTTGCTAAACTTACACAGGCCAAATGTTTCTTTAAAGTTTCTCTAACATTAAAGATTTGTTAAACCAGTGCCAGTTTAGTTTCTTGAGAACAATTTAAGGTCAACTCTCTTACTCATCATATATTCTTACTCTTTGAATTAAAAAGAGTTGATGAGTATTACACCAGCAATAAAACGTGAAGAAGCATTTCAGAATATTTTTTAATATTCAAAGCAAATTTTTGTTTGTAGAAACATTCACAAGACAAATTACTGCAAAGAAAAAGCAGATTACCAAGAGGTAAGGAGTCAATCTTTTTCCATGGATTAAGGTAGTGTTTTGACTCTTTCCAGTCACAATATTCTTGACATGCATCGTTAGGCTGATCCCATGGCAGCTCTGCATATGGTGATCAGAAAGAAAAGTATGAAGTAACACACGGTTTTATAGATAGGCAAACCAACCTATACACAATTTAAAAAAAAAAAAACAAGAAAATGAAAAAATAAAAAAAAGGAGAAAAAAAAAAAAAAAGAGTATCCAGCACATGTAAATAGACATTTTTTAGTACAGGACAAGAATAGTATTTAGGTTTCAGTCTTTTCTATTAAGAGGCAATCATAGTCTTTATAGCAAACATTTTGACAAACCACTTAGGCTCATTTCAGACTAATGCGGGTCATGCAGCCCGCGTTTGCTCGGGCACGGCAGCCCCATTCATTTCTTGGTCCTGTACACATGTCCTGGTGTTTTGTGTGTCCTATGGATCAATAAATATACACTATATTCATCAATTCTCCAGTGTGTGGCTGACCCTTCTTCCTGTAGCCCCATTCATTTGACTGGGCTGCTGTGCGCACATTTCCTGCACAAAAAAAAAAAGTTCCTTTGAAAAAAAAAAAAAAAAAAAAAACACAGCCGCAGGGAAACCGCATTGTTTTTTTTTTGACCATGCGATTTCCATGCAGTTCCCAAACCCACAAACATGTTGCGGGCTGAGATGCATGGGGGTGCCCGGGCGTCTCATAAAAGCAGTGCTATTCGGCTGCAAGTGGTTGCAGGTGCAGGGAATAGATGCGTTTCCGGCACCCGCAACCAGCCCGTAAAGTGTAAACCTAGCCACATGACCATGGTGTCCAGCGTTCATGCAGCTGATTACTTAATTAGTGGGTACAGGCAGATTGGGTCTACAAAGAAATTTTAATTTGGATGTTAGAAATATTAAAGTGGAGCTTTAGTCAGAAAATTAAGTCCTGCTAGATGACTTTTGCAGGTATAGCTATGTAAACATTAAAAATACGTGTCTATACGGTTTCAAATCCAGTAATACAGTGGATCACCCTGGCTCTGCACATGCTCAGTTGCTATTTATCAGCACTGCTGAAAATGCAAAGGCCGATCTACTGACAGACTAAAGATTTACTCCTATTCAAGGCTCTGGGCTTCAGCAAAATGCCGCCTCCAGCAAGAGGAAACATGGAGCAATGCTGGAGGCAATTTACAGCAAACACTAATTTCAGTTGCATAAATATTAATGTGGAATGTATTTTCATTGCTAAAGAACATTATTTTTTTATAAGTTGTTATGCGTAAAGTTCCGTTTTAATTGCGTAACTGGTCTTTCTTTCAAAAAAAGCAATTAAGCGTGCCTAATACATACTTCAGAGGTATGTCAGCACTTATCAGGAGTAGCTAAAACTGAACTGCCTAAATAAACTCACTTCAACAAAGCAGTTATCTAGTTTTCCAGCAGCCCCCCTCACATGGCGTTAGAATACAGTGAGGCAGGATATAGGACGTGCTAACTTGTAGTGAAGAAGGTAAAGAATATCACAGAACATGTAAAAAATACTGAAGAGATTGTTGAGCTTATCTAGCTCAGGGAACAAAACGGAAATTTCTTCTGCCTATTTTTAAGAGCTGTATTTTTCCCTCTTTACGGTTTCCTATCTTTATACAATTACACACCTTGAACCATTCTGAACAAAAATACCAACATTGCAAATTTTTACCAAAGCACAAATGTTGCCCTGTCTTCAGTGTTTGGTAATTTGATAAATATTAACAGCTTTCTATGGGAAAGATGAATTCGGACCCAACTGAGATCACCTAGAAATATGACCCTTCGCATGATACTGTATGTTTACATGTCCTATGTTGGTATACATTACCTCCAGCTAACATTGCTGTCAGAACAATCCCACACGACCAAATGTCCACAGGTTCAGCATGAAATGCTCTCTGCTTTATCAGCTCAGGTGCTACATAGGGCAGCGTCCCACACATCTTGTTCAGTAGTCGCTCCCGTCCATTATGTCTGAACACAGTAGCCAAGCCAAAATCGGAAATCTTTAGCTGATCTGAAAAATACATACAATTACTACTGAGCTGTGGAAAGCAAACACATATACAATAAAAGAGAGAATTATTTGGGTTAGGACAGGTCAGTTTTTGCCTTTAATACCTACAATACAAAATAATTTTTTTTCATTAAAGCCTCCCAAATGATTGCTTACCGCCTTTCTCTCCCAATGCCCTCTTATATCTCTTCTAATAGTTGTGCAACTCCACTCGCAGCAGCAATTCTCCATGCTTCTCCTTATTCATGAAATCTGGGCAATCGCTGAGCACACTGGGTTCATTCACTACGCTACACTGTGGAACAACTTTCCTGAACTAGCCAAATTAGAAGGGTTTGATACTTGGAAACAAGCTGGCATCCTATTCATTTACTAACTACACCACAACAACGTTCTATCATCATTCCAGACTTTATCAGAGCAATAACACTCAATTTTTTGAAAAGTGAGCTCTTTAGTATTCCCCCCAGCCCGTGCCCCCTCCCCTGACTTCTCCATCAAGATCAATAACACAATCATCAGTCCCTCCCCTGATGCCAGGGTACTAGGTGTAACCCTAGACTCCCATCTGTCCTTTCAGCCCCAAATCCAATCACTGTCCAAATCTTGTAGACTTCACCTCCGCAACATCTCCAAGACACGTCCGTTCCTAACCCCGGAAACCAAAAAGCAACTTATTCACTCCCTTGTTATATCTCGCCTTGACTATTATAACTCCCTCCTCGTTGGCCGACCTCATCGCAGGCTATCCCCTCTTCAGTCTATCATGAATGCTGCTGCCAGACTCATCCACCTTACTAACCGTTCTGTATCAGCCATCCCTCTCTGCCAATCCCTCCACTGGCTTCCCATTGCCCAACGGATAAAATTCAAAACATTAATAACATATAAAGCCATTTATAACTCTGCCCCAAATTACATCAGCAATCTTGTCTCCAAATATCACCTAAACCGTACTCTCCGCTCCTCGCAAGACCTGCTCTTTAGCTCCCTTGTCTCCTCCTCCCATGCTCGTCTCCGGGACTTCTCCAGAGCTTCCCCCATCCTATGGAACTCTCTACCCCAATTTATCAGACTATCGCCTACTCTGCTCACTTTTAGGCGATCTCTGAAAACCTCTCTCTTCAGGGAAGCCTATAATGCCCTCAGCTAATAATGGAATCTTCTACTCTTCCTACCAGTCCATCCCCCACAGTTACTACCTTTTGTACCACTAGCCCCTCCCTCCTAGATTGTAAGCTCCAAGGAGCAGGGCCCTCCTATCCCTCTTGTATTGAACTGTATTGTTGCTGTATTGTCTCCCGTTATATTGTAAAGCGCTGAGCAAACTGTTGGTGCTATATAAATCCTGTATAATAATATCACCTGACCAAACACTCGTTTTCAATATCTTCAACTACGTCGTGCCCTACAGGTGCAATCCCATACTATTCCCCATGTTCACAATTCAACCCAAATATAAAAACAAACAATGGTGGTATCTGCACAAATAAATGAAGAGGGACTCATAGGTGACCTTTATTCTGTTCTGGTGGCTGTCTATAGTGCTAAGGTTCCTCCATGGTGTGGAGGGATAGGGGCAGGACCCTAGGACCCATAGATGATGATCAATGGTCTAGCTTTGGAAGTCTTTGGTCTCTTTATCCCCACTCAAAAATTCACCCTGTAGTTCATAGTCTATCCCATTTATCACACCTGTAGAAGTGGTATTCATGAGGAACAGCAGCATCTCCCAGTTGTCCCAAGTAACCACTGGCACTTTAGTTTACATGCTTTGGAGGTGCCCTAAATTATTCCAGTACTGGACTATTAACATCTCCCACCCCGGACCCAAAAATAGCATTGTATCACATGTGCAGACTGTTTGTTTCATCAGTTCAGTCACATTTTTTCAAAGAAAAAAACGTAAGTTTTCATCAGTTTACCATTTGTTTTTTTACATCCACTACCAATGCAAAAAACAAACCTTTTGTCAGTTTTTTGGGCTTTGATCCATTTAAAAAAACGGATGTGGATGTGAACAGATCATCATCTGTTTACATTGGTTTTTACATAGCTATGCATAGATGTCCGTTTTTCATCATCTATGAATGGATGGATGGATGGATGAAAAACACAAACCATCCGCACAAGTGAAAGGGGCCTGTAAACATTATCTTGGAGAGATCAATATTGCTGCTGAGATTATTAGTTACTTGTTTGCTTTTTCTGGCCTGCAAATTAGTGTCTTTCTCCTACGCTTCTATCATTCCATCAATGAAAACAAGCAGTCCACAACATTCTTTGTCAGAGAAAAATTGGAATATCAGCCCGGGAGAGGCCCAAAAATTCTGTAAATTGCCATCTCCTTGGTTAGACTCTGGTGACACCTGTTACTTTTGCTGCTCAACATACCTTTTCTAGTTTTGCTTTGTTATAACTTATTACACCAAGTTACTATATGCATTTTGAAATATTGGGTTATCCCTGGTCTACTTCAATTTAACCATTACCTTTTTACAGTACTGTGCTACATTCTTCTAATGTCTGCTGGTTTTTGTGACTGATGTGTATCCTAATGATTACTGTATTGCATCATTGCGGTTTATAGTTGGAACACATTGTATTTTCTAGTGTATTAAAAAAATAAAAAAATGCAATAAAATTTATGGATTCAAAAAATACCATCCAAATGAGAAAACAACCCAAATACCACAAGGTGTTAAAAAAACGAAAACAAACGAAACATGAGATTTACATTAAAAGGTATCAGTGGATACGCTTAATAAACCATCTTGAACAACTTGAGCGTTCACCATTACTATTAACTTCCACATCAGAAATGAGAAATGTTACATTTCCTACCTCTGTCATCTAGAAGCAAGTTTTCAGGTTTTATATCTCGATGTGTAATTCCAAGACCATGAAGATATTCCTAATACAATAACAAAGCCACATGCTAGTGAAGTTGCGTACAAAAAGATCTCCCATGACATGAAACAGAGAATGCAAATATGAACAAGACAAAAGAACTGCTCAATTATTTTTTATTTACACTAAAGGCCTGGAAAGAAATGCTAATGAAATACAGAAGAAAAACAAATACAACAGAGGAGAAAAAAAAAGAAAAAAAAACACATACTATTTTATACTAAAGCTAGACTCAAAAATGTTTAGTGTATCTCCCTTTTTTTTTTTCCTTCATTAAAAAAAGTAAAAAGAGGATTAGGTAAAAAACAGAACACAGATTTTGTCGACATAGCTTACATCATACAGATTGTCCCCCCCAGCTGGTTCTGATAGCAATCGAGCGGTTAGTTAGCCCCTTCAGTTGCTATTACAAAAGAGCTGACTGGTGACTCTAAAAAAAAAAAAAAACGTTGTGGTAGGCATCATCCCAGTATAACGGCTCCAACAGCAAATCACGTCGCTGAACTTGTTAAAGTATAAAACAAATCAACTATGTGCAGTTAGAACAGCAAATGAAAGCAGCTAAGCTTCCCTTACCACGCCAGCAATGAGCTGCTGGAAGAACTTCTGTGCCTCCTGCTCTGGCATACCCACATCTGGCTCTGGAAAAAAAAAAAAAAAAAAAAAAAAAAAAAAAAAAATCACAAAATATTACCAACAGAGAGAGATCAATCCACAAGAACTTCACCTTACAAAGGAATTACAAACATCTCTTAATTTCAGAGATTTGAGATTAACAGTTTTCTTTTGGACTGTCAGCAAGAAAATTCACAGGTCAAGAAAAACAGATGATTTAACACTTTTTTTTAACGGCTTCCCATCTGCCCTATAGCAGAAATACTGCTACAGGGCGGCATGGGTGCGCAAAATCACGTATATATATATATGTGATTTTGCATTTCCGGGTAGGGGGCGTGAGTGTGCGCCTAACTGCACCACAATTCGCGGCCGTCAATCACAGATTCCTGGTGATTTCTGAGGATCTCCAATGGGGAGGAGGAATATTTTGTTTACTAAATATTCCTCCTACCTGTCAGCTCGGGCACACTGCTCTGGATGGCTGTGCACAGCACAGCCATAAAGAGAAGTGAGATTACAGTGAAACACACACCTAGTAACCCCTTCCTGCCCAGTGCCATTAGGCCAGTGTCAGTGCTTTTTTTTTTTTCTTTTTCAGCACTGATCACTGTATTGGTGTCACTAGGGAAGTCAGAGACACAAAGTCAGTTCCCCCCCAGTGTCAGAAAGTCTGCCGCAGTCCCGCTATAAGACGTTGATCGCCGCCATTACCAGTTAAAATGAAAAGGGAGAAAAAAAAATCCCAGTATATATACCGCCATTTGTAAACACTATAACTTTCATGTAAACCAATTAATTTACACATATTGGGATTTTTTGTCAGCAAAGACATGTGTCACAGAATCCATTTTGGCATAAATTTATGACTAAATTTGATTTTTTAAATTTTTTTTACTGGACATGTTTAATACCAAAAAGTCAAAAATATTGTTTATTTTTCTCAAAATTGTAGGTTTTTTTTTTTTTTAGAGCGCAAAAAATAAAACGCACAGGCGATCAAATAACACCAAAAGAAAGCTTTATTTGTGGGAAAAACAGGATGTAAATTTAATTTGTGTGCAGCGTTGCATGACTGCGCAATTGTCAGTTAAAGTAATGCAGCGCCGTAACGCAAAAAATGGCCTGGTCAGGAAGGGGGGTAAATCCTCAGGAGGGAAAGTGGTTAAGCAAAAATTCCTTTAGCAGGACAAAAAACAAAAACAACAAAAAAACCTGGGTACCTCCCAAACCTCTGCAAACCACCTCTGAAAAAGTAATCTACCTGTGTTTTTTAAAGGTTTTCTTTTTCTTAGACATCAGTATAAAATTATTAAAAAGGCTGAAAATAATGTACACAAAACATATATACAGTTGTACTGCACAGAACAGTAATGTTTTGTTTTTTTCCACTAAGGGCTCTTTCACACAGATGTTCTGATTAGGTCCGCCGGCCCGTTTTTCAGGCGGACCCAATTAGAGCCTCCATTCTCCTCTATGGAGCGGAGAGTGTAAACGGACAGGCGGTCTTTTTTCAACCGACCGCCCATTGAGGAGAGCGAGGAGCTCTGTGTCTGCTCTGCAGAGCTGTAATCCGCTTGCTCAGCGGTGATCAGAGGAGAGATCATCCGCTGAGCAAGTGGATCCCGTGGTAAAGGACGCTAAATATCACAACTTTGTACACATAAAATGTTTTATTAATATATTTCAGTAGTGTTCCTTTCAATGAGCTGCGCATGCCAAAAGCAAACAGAGCACCTACCAATCCTATCGAAGAGTTCACCTCCCCTGCAGTACTCCAGGAACAGATACTGAATGTTGCCTTCTTTGCGGTGCCCGAAGAACTTGACAATATTGGCGTGGTTAAGCATTTTATTGATACAGATCTCTTTCTTTATGTTTTCTGGACAATCAGCTGCTCGCTTCATATCCACAATTTTTACTGCCACCGCCTCTTCAGTTTTTCGGTTCACAGCCAGCTGTACTCTGACCGGAAAATAATTCCAAACATTAGGCTGCTCATCATAAAAAGGCTTATTTCAAAACACACATTTACAAATCTGCCAGGTAAATGCATTCATTTTTAAGGATCAGCTGTCCATTGTAACTAGAATCTCAAATCAGGCCTAAGAAAAAAATGGCAGCCTGAACAAGAGCTTTTCTCTGGTCATTGCAAAGAGGCAATACAAACTAAACAGCCTTTCTCAACCATTGTTGAATGGAGGAACCCTTGAAATAACCTTCAGGTCTCAGAGAACCCCTCCACAATAATCGCTTCGCATTGACCACCAAATAATGTGATGGTCAGTGGGAAGAACGATCCAAATTAGTGTGATGGTCAGTGGGAAGAAAGATCCTTACATTTGTGGTCAGTAGCAAGATTTCCCCCTTACAGATAGCTAAAAAGATTACTGGTCTCAATGATTACTTATTGGAGAGGCAGACATTGCTAAAGGAACCCTGTGACAGATCCATCTGGGACAGGGGCTTTTGGAGGAGACTGCAGGCTAGCCTCTTGCCTACTGACCATGGGCTCTGGCATCTGAGGGGGCTCTATTCTTTGGGAGGTGTGTGCCAGGGGGGACCTTTGGAGTAGTTTTTCGGATTCGAGTCCATGTCTCCCCAAAACGAACAGACTCCGAGAACTGGAGGACCAAAATACAGATTAGGGGTCTCTGTGCCCAAACCAGCATTGGCTGCTTCAAACTCCCTTCTAGACTGAGATCAGATGTTAATATAATCAGCTCAAAACAACTTGCTGGCGAGGTCTCTTGCTGTAATCTGTTTATGAAGGTGATATACGTTTACTGTTGTGTCTTTCTCCCATTGTTAATTGAGTCACCTATTGTTTCTGTCTGTTGGCTAGTCCTCCTGGAGGTTCCTACAGGATGGGATTAATCTTGTGTCAACCTGACCTAGTTACCTAATCAGTATAGGATGTTAATCCCAATGTGTAATATTTGTTTTTATTGTTCATGTGGGGACTGTCCCTATTTCTGAATAAAACATGTATTTCTCTTCAATAAACAAGATCCTGTTTGCACCTAAGCTAGTGTTGTCTAGTTCTTGGGTGCAATGCCCAGCTATAATACCTTGTTTCTGTGCCCCAGTGGTAAGGAAGCAGCTCTCTGACGGGGGCACCCAGGCAGTTTGTCACAAGCCCCTAATAACCTCAGGAGGAACCCTGTTTGTGAAAGGCTGATCTAGAACAAATGTACCCAGTGTTCAGTAATACTTACTCTCCATAAGCTCCCTCTCCTAGTGTCTGTACCAGATCCCAGTCTTCAACAAATGGAATGGCCATGATTTATATCACTCATGTAGGGACGATTCACTGTGGAAAATGATTTAAAAACGCTGGTTTAATGTTTATAATAAACACATAAAAACATAAGGAAAATAAAAGGTTTGCAAGCTGTAGCCATAAGGTGACAAGATGTTAAAGTGAAGCTCCACCCAAAAGGGGAAGTTCCACTTTAAGCCTTTGTCCCCCACTCCCCATTAAAGATTGGCACACTTGGGGAGCGGGGGGGTGTGTGATTTTGTCCTCCCCGTAGAAGACTATGGGGCCATTCACAAAGCGCAGCACTTCTCGCGCATGCGCAGTGGGCACCTGGCTGTGAAGCCACAAGCTGTCACAGCCGGGTGCCCACAGTGAAGATGCCAGCACCAGGGAAAGAAGACGGCCGGTGAAACCAGCAGTGGTGAGGACACAGGTGTTTGTATTTTAAAATTCAGCAGCTGTTTTTTTAGTTTTTTTTTTTTTTTTTGGTGGAACTTCGCTTTAAAGGCCTTGTCCCCCGGTCTGCGCTAAGGATTCGCACCTTTGGGGAGCGGAAGTTCTCCTCCCCCTGCACTGCCCTGCAGTCTTCTTGGACACTCGAATGCGGGACCATGCTTGCGCAGTGAGCACCCGGCTGTGAAGCCACAAGGAGTCATAGCCGGGTTCCCACACTTAAGATGTCAGCTAGTGAACCCAGCTGCGGTGAGGACAATGCTGGATCCTAGGACAGGTGAGTGACTGTTTTTGTAGCTGCCGACTTATTTTTTCTCACCAGAGACTGAAGCTCCGCTTTAAAGCAACGGTCACTGGGTTAAAAAGAGTCATAAAGCAGGACCTTCAAAAGCACAGAGTTCATACTTACTGATCCCACTGACTATTCCTCATACAGAAGAGGAGGTTCAGCCAAGTAAAAAGATATCGCACATGTCAAGCTTTAAAATCACATGCGCCAGTGAAATGGTGACAAACTTCAGTGCTCAAAATTGTCCATAGGCAACACTGTGAAAGCGTCTACAGGTCATAGTTTTAGATTAAATAATGAATAGCAGCCCTAGAATTGCTGTTATCACTTTGCAGTAATATATAACATGCATACCACAATCGCTGTTTTCATAGGTCAACACTCCCAACACAAGTGTTTATGAAGAGGTTGTGTCCTCGAAACGCGTTAGCCAGTTGGTCATCCAGGGTTACATCGTATGGACTCAGATGTTGTTTGGATCATACATCTTGTTCAGTTTGACATGCCAGTGTTATTATGTCCATTGTGAGTATGATATCTATTTTGTTTCTTCAATAAATTATTTTAAATGATAGTGCACTAGGTCGGTGCACCCTTTTTCTGTTTCTCCATTTGTAACAAGCGTTTATGTACCTATGTGGGGGCAGGGGTGCTTTGAAAATTTATTTTTATTTTTTTTGTCACTTTAAACGTTTAAAGTGTTTTTTTTTTCAATAACTTAATTCATATCACATAGGTGACCAATAGCCTCCTAAGTGATAGCATATAGGTTGTGGCAGGAGTGGTAGACCCCCTGATGTGTACCCTGTACTCCTCTGCAGCTAATAACCACAGATCATTGCCTGTCTTCTCAGCCAGCTCTTCAGGAGAATGACAGCTCTGGATCAGGAAGGGACATATTGCTTCCTGGTTCATTCCTCAGGAGGATCAGCAAACAGGCGCTGGGACTTCCATGTTACAGGGGTTGTAGAAGAGATTGGACAGCTTCATAGCAGCCCTAAATCCCTTCCATCTGAAAGCCGACAAGACGGCTTGACGAAAGTACAAATATTCCCAGCCGCTATTTTAGCAGGTAATGTTTTTATTTATAAATGGCACTGGGGCTTAAGAGGTTAAAAAATAGCAGGGTTCATAGAAATAAGCCTCTCAGACTATGAATGTCAGAGTCCTCAATAGATCAGCCAGTCCCCAAATATCAGCAGCACCATGTTTTCCTCACCCCTTCACAGAATCATATGTGGGACACTGAAGCGATGTGCAGCCACCAATTAACATTTGTGTTTATAGGACGTTTCCTAAACACACATAAATGCACATAATGGTTTTTCAGAGGTGTCATTCAGACCTGCATTTAGGTGCAGTCAGTTTAGCTGTAGAACACCCCCATCACATCAAGCAGACTTTGAAATCGTGCGACTTACAGTGACCGGGGGACCTGCCGATTTCAGGTGCGATTTGCAAGACATCTGATTAAGATGTCTATGCAAATCGCACCAGAAGTAGTGCATGTACAGCTTTTGAAATCGGTGTGGCTCTGACATGATCGTTCCAATTGCAGATAATAAGGTGCGATTTGGCATGCGATTGCAAGTCGCACTACCCGAGCCGCCATTCACAGCCTCAGCTGTCAATCACTAGGTCCCAGCCGGTGATCGCCGAGTATCTCTGACAGGCAAAAGACCTGTATGCAAACAATACAGTTCTCTCCTGTCCGCTCCTGCACACTGCTTTGTATGGCTCTGCATACCAACATGCGTACAGTGAAGTACACACACAGCCCCCATAGTGAAGCAGCACAGTTAACCCTTTGATCGACCCAGATGTTAACCCCTATATGCCCAGTGCCATTAGTACAGTGTCAGTGCTTTTTTAGCACTGGTCACTGTATTGGTGTCACTGGAGATGTCAGTGACACCAAGTCAGTCCCCCCCCCGTGTCAGAAAGCCCGCAGCAGTCCCGCTATAAGTCGCTGATTTTTTTTACTGGATACGTTTAATAGCAAAAAGTCAAAAATATTGTTTTTTTCCTCAAAATCGTCAGCCTTTTTTTAAATATAGCGCAAAAAAAAAAAAAAAAAAAAAAAAAAAAAAAAAAAAACCGCACAGGCGATCAAATACAACCAAAAGAAAGCTCTATTTGTGGGGGAAAAAAGGTTTAAGTGATTGGGTGTAACTATTTTTTGACACTTGTTTCCACTACAACTTTATGTCAAGTAAAGGACAAAAAGTTCCCTATATGACAAATTCTTTGTGATAGATTCTCTTTAGTGAAATATCGGGTATTATAGAACTCCCAGATGTCTCGCCTGCACTCCATTGAAGTTAATGGAGTGCATATTGTGCTCCATTAGCTTCTTTACTGGTTCCAGCGACCAGGGAAAGAGACCAAAGAAATTGGAAGTAAAAGTAGAACCACTGCTTAGGTGTTCTTTGCATCTAGACCCCCCCCCCCCCCCCGTGCTGTCACCATATGACATATGGTGGTGACAGTAAAATCGCTTCCCGACCGCCCTATAGTAGAAATACTGCTATATATGTGATTTCGCATTTCCGGGTACGTGCATGCACTACCCGTGCTGCCATTCGCGGCCGCAGCTGTCAATCACCGGGTCCCGGATAGTGATTACTCGCCAGTGCCTGGTGATTGCCGAGGATCTCTGACGAGGCAGGAGGGGGAAATGCAGCGTTGCATGACTGCACAATTGTCAGTTAAAGTAACTCCGTGCTATAATGCAAGTGGAGGGCAAGTGGTTAAAATGTGTTGACCTGCATCCGGTGTAAACAGACCCCAAGCCTGCATTCACACTTAGGGCTCGTTCACACTAGGCTGTTTTGCCAACGCTTGCCAAACGCCCCTATAGCGTTTGGCAAGCGTTGGTCCGGCGTTTGCGGAGCGTTTTTTAACGCTCGGCAAACGCTCTGCAAACGCCGCATGCGCGGTTTAGCGGCGGTTGCTAGGCGTTTGCCGAGCGTTAATAACGCCCCACAAACGCCTATAATGCAGTTTGAGTGGTGTTACCGCTCCGCAAACGCCCCGCAACCGCACCGCAAACGCCCGGCCGGAGCGGCTGCACCATAGACGAGAATAGGAGGCTTCAAAGCCTCCTGACTCGTCCAGAGGCGTCCGTTTTGCCGCGACGCAACGCGACGCAAACGCTCCCGTTAGAACAGCACCATGTGCTGTAATGTGCAGAATTGGCAGAGGCGTTTGGGAAGCGGTAAAAACGCTTCCCAAACGCCTCTCTGCCGCCTGCACACAAGGCTAGTGTGAACGTAGCCTTAGAGGTCATCAGTTTCGAGTTAACTGAATAACAGGCCTGGAATTAGTGCGGTCACACTGCTATGTGTAGTTGTAAGTGAAGTTTTTGAACACCCCGACAGGTGTATTTACATTTGTATGTGTGTGTAGGTGGGGGTGGGGTAGGCTCAATTTTTTTTTTTTTCCAGGAAGGGGAGTTTCTAAGTGCTTGGATGTAACTTCACATTTCAACACTTTTCACTAAAACTTTATTTATAAGCATAGGGTACAAAAAGTCCCCTTTGGGACAGGTTCTCAGAGTCATCAGTTCTTTTCAATCTCTGATATCTCATCTGCCCTCCACTGAAGCTAACAGAGTGTGCAGATTGCGCTCCATTAGCTTTTGCCCCCCCTGGCTGCAGAGGCCGGGAAAAGTGACAACAGAAAGGAAAGTGACATTATACACATTGCTTATGGGTTATTTGCAGCTATGGGAGATCCGTGAACAGATGTTTGCTGATCTCCTTCCTCTCCACCCAGTGACAACTCCTGATACATATCCTGAGTCCACAGGTAGGACAGCAGTGTCTGGGTAGCATGGGGGAAGGGGCAACAGGAAGCCAACAGTTGGCTTGGGGAGTGAAACCCTTTCCTGAGCGCTATAACTTTCACGTCAACCAATTAATTTAGACGTATTGGGATTTTTTTTTTAGCAGACATGTCGCAGAATTCATTTTGGACTAAATTTATGACGAAATTTGATTTTTAAAATTTTTCTACTGGACATGTTTAACCGAAGGACGGCTACAGCGTGGTCTTCTAATCCTGAGACAACATCCATGGATGTCATGTCGAGAACATGCACCCGGGAGAGCCTGTGATCGCTGTGTCCCTTGGACACAGCGCATCACAGACTGAGGTAAGAGGCCAATCGCAGCGGCCCTTTACCATGTGATCAGCCTGTCTAATGACACGTGATCACTATATGTAAACACTGCAGGTCATCTGGGGATTGACAGATCCCCTTCCTTCACACAGAGAC